TGGTAAAATTTGAGTTTGCTTAGAATATTCTTTTGAATTTTTTTCTGAATAATTGATAATTGCTTATGTTTAATTTAAGTAATCATTTATTTTTAGGCACCTAAAAAAAGGGATGAAAGCAGTTCGATTTGAATGGTTTGTGTCATATTTTCAACTCAAACTATTTCACCCGATTTGAAATTTTTCAAAACCAAATCAAGCCAAACCATGTTTTCAGTTTGATTCGATTTTAATCCGCGATTAAATTCTATGCTGGCAACCATAACTGCAATACAAACTAAATAGCTCTGCGTTGATTATTGTTTTTATCTGGATAAAGCAATTAGGTTCAGCCAAAGTTCTGCAGCCTTCTAGCCTGTTTAATACAATATTTATGTAGTGTGTTAAATAAATAAAAAGCTTATCAGATGAGTTCTTGATGTCAAATTTTCTAAAGAAAACATTCCCACGAAAGAATGTGATTGCTTCATCAACAATATTAATGCTATCAACATAAAATTTATATCAATTTCAGTATAAAATACAGCATATCTTTCTTAAAATTAGATATTATGGTGCAAGTTGAGATTGTTCTGAAACTGAAGCAGATCCTATTATGTGGCTTTTAAGGGAAAGTAAGGGGGGGATTCGATTTGCTTCGTTTTTGTGCGATTTTGAAAAATTGAAACCTAAGCCCTTGTTTAAGCCCCATTTTGGAAGAAAGAATCAATTTTTGAATAATGTATTGATCGAAAATGTATGGTTAAAAAATAAGGAAAAATTTTGAATTTGTGTATAATATTATTTTCTTAAAGAATATGTGGTTGAAATGATATCAAAACACTGTTAAAAAATGCATTTTTCCAAAAGAATGGAGCTGAAACAAAGGATAAATCAAACCATTATTCTACAACACCCTTAAAGTCTACAAGCTATGGATAGATTCCTATAGTCATAACATATTTGCACTTATTCGAACATAATTTCTTTAAAATGAAAATAATAATCCTTTTTTTTTTTTTTTTTTTAAATATATAGGAGAACAAGATGCCATTTTATCTATTCTCATACCTATTTTCGTAATTTAATTACATCTATCTCTCTCTATATATTCCATCCCATCTCCCGCAGCTTTTTTCTCCCCTCTGTGCACTAGAGCTTCACGATTCTCTCTCCCATTTTACACACAGTACACGCACTAACAGTGCTATCAAACATCTATATCCACACGAATCCAAGCTCAATACGAAATTTAAATGGGATTTCCAGTGGGATACACTGATATTTTTCTACCAAAACTGTTGGTTCACCTACTAACAATCATGGGATTCATTCGCAAATCAATTTGTGCAGTGTTTTCTTTACTGGGCCTCAGTGATTTCCTTGAGCCTGAAATGGCGTACCCGACCCAGATGGATACTGAACCGGAGCCCCGTTCCGTGTCAGCTGTGCTGATCCGAGAGCTTCTGCCAGTGGTGAAGTTCTCCGACTTGGTCGTATCGGATCAACCAGATAACTGTGCTGTTTGTTTGTATGAATTTAACGGCGATGATGAGATCCGACGGCTGACGAATTGCCGACATATATTCCACCGGAGCTGCCTGGACCGTTGGATGGACCATGATCAGAAGACATGTCCACTCTGCCGGACGCAGTTTATACCGGAGGACATGCAGGAGGCATTCAATGAGAGGCTGTGGGCGGCTGCCGGCATTTCGGACTTCTACGGCGAGTATTCGCCGATTACTACGGGTTTGTAGTCCTCTTTTTTATATTTTTTACTCTTTTTATGGGGGCGAGGGGGTTGATGTGGTAAATGTAAATATTACAATGAAAAATAAAAATGAAGAGGAAAATATGGATTTTAATATATTTTTGGTTCCTATTGAATTTTTGTATTTCGAGGCTCTCTTTACTTTTTTAATTGTTTTTGGTTTTCATGATGGCGTGTTGTCGATGAATTTTTAATGGCAAGAGTTATTTAACGCTATCCCATTGATTCATTGTGTGACTTATCGGGAACGCAGGTCGGTTGAGTTATTAAAGTTATCTTCGTCAATCTAAAAGATATGTCGAGGACGATTTTCAAGTGTAAAAGAAGTTTATCTGGTGACGGAACTATTATAAAGTAATATATACTTGCCAACCATTGGCAATCGAAATATGCTAAATATTTTATCCTTAACTGAGTCTTCATCGTCTAAGGATTCTTAAGCCTTTTTTAAGTAACAAAAATATGTTGATTTGTCTAGTTTTATTGAACTCGTTATTAAATACATTGATTCAACAATAGCAAATTAGAATTTACTTTAAATAAGTTTGAGCCTCATTTTTTTAAGGATAAATAGACTTTATAATAGTAATTTATTGAACATTGTGTGATTAAAAAAAAATTGGATTTTTGTGTAAAATTATTTTATGAGAGAATGTGATTAGTAATGAGTATGAGGAAAAATAAATTTTTAAAAAATGGGTAATATTATGGATAAGCAAAACAAGTAATGGGATTTTTTTGGGAAATATATCATTGCTTAATTTATAATTAAGTACAAATTAGCTGTGTGATTAAAATGGATGATAGGAAATGTAATCAGGACCTACTAAATATGGAGATAGTTTGGAGGTGTTGGAGCATTACCGGTTAACTCGGATCTTGTCTTCCAATCTTAATCAAGCCTCTTGTGGAAGATAAAGTGTGTCAACTTAGGAGTAATTTGGTACTTGTTTGATTTGACGTGTATGATCGTATAGTCTCAATCAAAATTATGTATGCACTTCTGTTTGGTACATATTAAAATTTGAACTTAATTTCAAGTCAAAGTCAACAATTAATTTTAACCTTGCATTTCATGAGGATCATTACTTTGCAACCACACATT